TTGCAAATCTGAGCCTGTGTTTCTTGAACTCTTGGGGTCTGGGTAAATGCAGATCGTGATTTAGGAGGTCTGGGGTGGAGTGAGAGATTCTGCATGTCTCACCAGCTCACATGTGATGCAATGCTGCTGGTGGCATCATACTTCCATGTGATGAAGTTTCAGTAGAGCATCCTTGTGATGGCCTTGGCTCCTCTTTTCTAAATTGTCAGTCTGACCCTGTGGGTCACTGATGAAGAGGCCCCTGGTCCCCTTCAGTGTCCTTGACCTCTCCTTGTTTGACTCTTTCCTTCTGCAAAATGGAATTAGCAAACCCGTGTAGAGAGTCCACTGAATGGCAGAATCTTAGACTTTTCAGTTAGAGGAAACTTTGGAGATGATCTGATCTCACTTGTTCCCCTCTTCCCTGCATCACATCTTACGTCTGAAAGCCCATGCCTGAGATCCCATTCACTGAGTGTGCAGTTGTAAGTCTCACGTCATTCCATCAGACCTAAGAAAGCTCTGCAGAATAAGGGCCTCTTGAAAATGTTTTCAAGTACCTGAAAATAGTGAGAACAAACAAACCACTGCTCAAAATCACTTAGCAAACCTCACCTTAATGAGGAATTTTCTCTTTTGGCATCAGAAAGCAATTTTAAAACTCAGCATTTCTAGGTGAGAAGCTTTAGTCGTTGCCCTCTTGTTCTTTCTCCCCACAGCAGATGCTAAAGCACAGCTCAGTCTTGATTCACCCCTTCTGTCAAGAGCAGATGTCAGCCTCAGTTATTGTTTTGCAAATTCATTTCAGCCCTTTAATGCCTTTAATGCAATTTCTGGAGAATGAAGTATCGATTCCCAATCTCAGCTGTTTTTCCTGAAGCCTATACCACATTGGCCTTCCTGGTCTCTATCTGTCTCCTCTCTGTCGCATTCCCCCCTCTACTCTTTCTGGAATGCATGCCACATTTCTGGTCAGTGTTCTATAATAAACTCATCGTAGTTCCCAAAAAAAGAGGCATGATAAAGGCATTGTATGAATATGTTTGAATGAGAAATTCGTGAAAATCATCCATTTTTATTTATGGTGAAAGACTTAATTTGGATAGAATGTGATATGAATCAAATATAACTATGCCTCTGGAGGCACTATGAAAAAGGGAGTGCTTTAGTTTCATGAATTTGCTCTTTTGTTCTGTGTATATTGCTGTAGCACCATTTTTCAAGCCCTCTTCTTAGTGTCTCAAGCCAGTAAATATCACACCTCATATGTGTGAAGACAATTTATTGTGCAAACCAAGGCACTTCTGAGAGTAGACTGGGCAGCCATTGGTAATTGTGCTCCTGTGTCAGGCATGCACTGCGACTGTCTCAGTAAACAGATATACATGATCATCCTAATTACAGGCAGTTTGGGATATGGGACTCAGTGACAATTTGGTATTGGGAGGTGAATCTGTTGAAGAAAAAAAGCATGAAACATAATTAAACAGGCAAGGAAGGCATTATTCAAGACTACTGCAGCAGGGGAGAGATTAATCTTGACTCTGGATACAGTAGGGACAGCTGGGGATTTACAGCCAGTGGGCATGTTGAAGAGGTCATGGATGGGAAATTACTAAGAGGATTTGGTTGGGTATCAAGGATGGGGGGATTCTTGCTGAGCTGGGCTCGGCAGGCCAGGACCAGGCCTAGTCAAGAAGAGGCCTCAGAGGAACATGCTTAAAGTTTGGTCAAAGAAAAAGTCCTTGTTGAATCTCACCAAATAAAATGCAGATTTTAAAATTTAGTCTTAATCAAAGGAACTGAATAGTTTCCCATCATGGGAACTCATCCTTGCTTTGAGAAATTCTTCCAACTTTATACTTTGTCTTTGTGATTTTTAAAGACTTTTCCTTTGTAAATCTAGTTATTCTAGTTATGCTTGATAAAGAAATTGTTTTATCTTCTGATCTTTGCTTCTACTTCAGTAAAGCTGAGGTGAAACTGACTCTTCAGAAATGAAAAAAAAAAAAAATGTGGCTTTGAATTGATCAAGGAAGCACAATTGTAATTCATCCAGGAAGGACTTCATCAAGTGGGCCATGTTTCATGACACACTGTTTAGTGAGGCTTAGAGAATAGAAGGGAAAGCAAGAAGTTTAATTTGTATCATTTGTACACATGTCCATCACAGTGGAGGCTCAGTGAAGGATCTGCTGCTCCTGGTAGCCCACTGCTCACTACTAGGCAACTCTCCCTCTGAGCATTGGTTTTCTTGTCCATAAAATGAAGGTGTTCAATCAGGTGAGCTCCTTGTTACCTTACAGGGATTTTTTTTTTTTAATTTTATATTTCTGATTTTAAAAATCACTCTGTCCCTCTCTGGATTATGCTCCATTACTATAAAATACCCATCTTGAACCCATTGTAAAGGATTGAATATGAGCAATGGTAAGTCAATCTGAAAATAATGATTTAATGTAGAACCTGTGTCTGAAAAGCTCAATTTTCTCTCTGTATATTTTATGATATAACACATCCAAGGAGGTGTATGCAAGAAAGTTCCAGAAGATTTATTAATAAAAGCATGTGTGTTGGGGGAGGGGGATTAGGAAAGGAATAGAAACAACCTGAAATGTACTTCAGCAGGAGAATGAATACAGAAATAATGATGGAATGACTCGTGAAAGTCAATCAGCTATAGAATCAAAGGACATACACATCAACAATTTTTAGCAAAACCAAGAAAAAACTTACACCATTTACTTAAAGTGTAAATGGTATAAGTACTACTTCTTATACTACAAAACAGTACTACTGCTCATTTCTAAGGGATACATACTTGTGTATGTATAGTAAAAGTATTTTTTAAATTCTTGGTGGTGATAAACACCAGGCTCAGAATAGAGGTTCCCTCTGCCGGTGGGAAGGGATTATGATTTGGGAGGGGAATTCATGGAACTTCAGCTGTATTTGCTAATGCTTTATTTCTTAAACTGGGAATTAGATATATAGGTAGTCATTGTATTACACTTTATGCCTTTTCGTATGTCTTAAAATATCTTATAGCAATCCTATGATAAAGTCAGGATGATCATAAAAAGACACTGCATACATTTGTTTGTAAATTAGAAACACTCAGTCCCCACAGTTTAGTGGTAGCAAAGCTAATGTGAATTTAAAATCTTCTTATGACCTGCCCTGCAGTTATAATGTACATACATCAAAAAACAAAATTTCCAGTGTTTATTTCACACACTGGTGAAATAACCACTAGTCAGATACCAGTCTCTTGAGTTATTACTACTTACATGGGTAATAGCTATTGTTATTTATTTAAAATTTATACTGTGTGAGAGAAGTTTATGAAAACATATAGGTAGTTAGCTATAAAGTTGTGACTGGATGCCAGATTGATAAATGAGCAGTTTCCTCTGCAAATAAGTGCAAACTCAGCTATGTGCTTTCAGGTGGTCTAGACAAGAGGAGAAACCTGCCTACTGGTTTCTCAGTAGATGACCTTATGATAAAGCTGGAATTGTCATGAAAAGACATTGCATGCATTTGTTTATAGATTAAAAACAGAAGCTCTAATCTACAACTCTTAGTAGGAGAGCTGGATTTTTCCTGGCTCTAAAATTTGGGGAAGAATTAATCACAAGAGTCCTTATGTAATGGGTACTGAGGCATTTTGAGTGGTGCTTCTGTTGATTTGCCCTTGCCAGCAGCTTCTTGCTATTCATCCGTTTCACACAGCACCCAGAGTGATGGTGCTGTAACAAAACTCGTATCAATTCTTCAGAAGCTTCCCATTGCACACATGGTAAAGTCAAACCCCCTTACCTGACCTTGAGGGTCCCTGCTCCTGCCTGACCATCTCACCTCATCTCTTACCATTCTTCTCTTAATTAGGCTTCACCCACTCCCATTGGTGTTTCTTCCCTACAGAGCTTATGAGATCTGGGCATTTCCTCTTCTCTCGGTTAGGAATGCCCTTCTCCCAGGTCTTGGCATGGATGACTCATCTTTATCATTCAAGTTTCCATTCAAATGTCATTCTCAGCCCCACCCCGTCACAGAGGATTTTCTTTATGAGCAAAAGCAGCCTCACCACCACCACCTATACTATCCCTAAACTCAAGGCAAGAAGGGTGCTCTGGGACCTGTGCTGTAGAGGGGTACCCTCCAGCCACATCCCTTCCCATGAAGCAAGAAGTTTACGGGGCAAAGGGGACTTGCATACCCAGAGCTTGCATTTCCTCTACTAGGCCATACCCTGCGCTATGGCTTGAATGTGACCCCTTCAAAATTCATGTTGAAACTTCACCTTCATTGTGGTAGTATTAAGAGATGCGACTTTGGGAAAGTGATTAAGTCATGAGGGCAGAGCCCTCAGGAATATGGATTAACAGCTTTACAAAAGAGGCCTCAGAGAGATAATTGCTCCCTTTTGCCCTTCTGCTTTCTTCCCCTCAAGAGGACACAGCAAAAAAGTACCATCTTGGAAGAGAGAAAGCAGCTCCCACCAAACTTGCCACCACCTTGACCTTGGACTTCCCAACCTTCAGAATTCTGAGAAATGTACTTCTAATATTTATAAATTACCTAGTCTATAGTATTTTGTTTAAGCAGCACAAGCAAACTAAGACACCCTGCTTACCTGGGATTCCACAGGTCTCTGCCCACATGGATCTATGCCCATTTCTAGAGTCTGTGAGCCTCTGCCTTGGTTCCCATTCTCTGTTGTCAGTTTGCGGATCCCTAAGCCCAAGGGTGGTCACACAGTGGCTGTTAGCAGAAGGTATAGATAAATATTAGACATAGGGGCTGTAGTATCATGTGCGTACAAGAACTTCCTCTCAATGGGAGCTGGAGCCAGGCTGAGAATAGACAGGCACATGCCAAGAGGCGGGGATCAGGAACCCAAGGGCTGGCTTGCACAGCTCTTCCACATCCCAGTGCAGAACTTGGAGGAGTCTGAGAATCCTGAGTGCAAACTTGTTCTTCCTAGTGTTTGAAAAGTTGATTTGTCAAGCTAGAGAGTAGATTGTATTTTATTAAACAGTTTGTTAGCTTGATGCACACTCTTAATTATTTATACACATGTGGATCTCCAATTATACTCCTGCTGGTCTTACAAATGCTAGTGGCAGGCCTGGCTTCCTCTGCATTTGAGTCAGTCCAGAAGATGGTGGTTCAAATTCCAGGGCCTGGTGGTAAAACAAAAAGTGGGGTTCTGTGCCAAATCCCTTAGAAATACCTTTTCTGCCACCCACCTTGTTGGGGATTCCAGACTTTCTTCTCAACAGTCCTGTTCTCTACTCTCTCTCCTATTTCCCTGTTTTTATTTTGCAGCACTGAAAAAATCTAAAATTACCTTGTTTATTTGTTTAATATGAGTTCTGTGAGGTCAGAGGCTTGTGGCTGTATCTGTAGCATGTGGCACATACTAAGTGCTCATTAAAAATTTGCTTATAGCCAGGAATGATGCCCCATACCTATAATCCTAGTGCTTTGGGGGACCAACATGAGAGGAATGCCTGAGGCTAGGAGTTTGAGACCAGCCTAGGAAACATAGCAAGGCACCATCTCTACAAAAATATTTTCTTAAAAATTAGCGGGGTTGTGGTGGTGCATTCCTATAGTCCTAGCTATTCTTCAGGCTGAATTGGGAGGATCACTTAAGCCTGGGAGTACGAGGTTGCAGAGAGCTATGATCATACCACTGCACTCTAGCCAGGGTGACACAGCAAGCTCCTGTCTCTAAAAGTAATATAAATAAATTTTAAAAAATTGTTGAATCTGTCATGACAGGAATATTGTTTAAAAATTTTTGCTGAATGAATGGCTTAGGTGCTATTTTGTGCCAGGACTGTGAAGAGTCCAAAGATAACTCAAACAGGTCCTCTGCCTTCAGGGGTCTCCAAGCCTAGTGGAGAAGCAATCCTGAAAACAAACGAGTCTTCTGCTCTGAGTTTTACACTTCTCACATCATTAATGAATCTAGAAACAAAAATATATATGTAGCCATTACTGTAGCACTTCTGTGGAAACAATTTGTAAAGTAAATAAGCTCCAGAGAAAGGGAAAAATACTTTGTTATCTTCTCTGAAGGGTTAGGGGTAAGAGAGCTTTTAAACTTGATGACCCATCAGAACTGGTGGAAAGTGTTTTTTCTCCCTCTTCCTGAAGATAAATTGCTTGTTTTTCTAGGAGGAGGGGGGAACATGTTAAACATTTTCTGCTGTTAAGCTAAAATATTGTTTAGAACAGGAGGCTAAAATCTCCTCAGCTGCTGCCGTCTGCCTTATTTAACTTACATGGCAGACGGTGGCATCTGCTGAACAACACTGTGTTGGCGCTTCCCTCCAAGGAGCTGAGGGCCTCTGGAGTCGGCCTTCTCAGAGGCCTCCGTGGGCAGCGGGGCAGCCGGGGCTTCCAGCTGCTCTGGGCAGACTTCAATTTCACTCCAGATGGCCTGGGTGTGCAAAGTGTGAAAGAAGACAGGCAGAAACACTGTCCCTTCTACATAGAATTCCTTACATTTTTAAAATGGAGCTGATAGGTCTTACTAATTGATCTGATTATGAAAGAAACTAGACTACTAGAATATGAGAAAGAGAGGCATCAAAAATAACTCAGAGGGTTTTGACCTGAATAGGAACTGACATGAACAGAAATGGGGAAGACTGAGTAGTGTTAAGGTATTTTAGAGGGAGGAATAGGAATTTGACTGGGCACAATAATTATAAGATTATTACCTACTAGACAGCCACAAAGAAGTGTCAAGTAGTTAGTTGAATACATGAGTCTGGAGTTTAGGAGGGAAGTGACAAGTGTGATAATTTAAGGGAGTATTTAAAGCCATGAAACTAGATGACCCACCTTAGGAGAGAATGTGGATAGAGGACAGAAGTCTAGGGATCAGGGAGATACGGAGGAGCAAGCATAGTAAAATCAGAGAAGATCATTTTGCGGAATATATTAGAGGACTTTGTTGATTTTCTCAAAGTCTTCTTCCAATTTCCTAAAATTTAAATCACCCTATTTGAAGAGTCTGTTGTCACTGTTCCTGATTTTTCAGTTTTTTAATAGTTACTTGACCTAATGCTCAGGCCCTTTCTTATCAATGACAGCATAAGTTTCCAACATGATTGTCATTACTTAGTCCATTTTGTGTTGCTGTAACAGAACACTGCAGTCTGAGTAATTTATAAAGAAAAGATATTTGTTTCTCACAGTTCTGGAGGCTGGGAAGTCAAATATTAAGTTGCCATCATCTGGTAAGGGCCATCGTGCTGCATCATCCCATGGCAAAAGGCAGAAGAGCAAGAGAGAGGGAGACAGGGGCAAAATCATCCTTTTATCAGGAGCCCATTCTTCCAATAACTAACCCACTCCCATAATAATAGCATTAATCCATGCATAAGGCAGAGCCCTCAAGACCAAATTGCCTCTTAAAGTTCCCACCTCTTAACACTGCTGCAATGGGGATGAAGTTTCCAGCTCATGAACACTGGGGCACACATTCAGATCCCAGCATGCACTGTGTGAGACCCTGCATCTACAAGTTTTGCAATGTCATTTTAATGAAGTCAGTTTACTTTGCATTTTCACTTTGTGTTTAGTGTGATGGGCAGAGATAGAAACTAGCATTCAGTAAAGAGGGTGGACTAATTTTATACACAACCATTTATCAGTAAATATTTTTAAGTTCTGATGCCCTAAAAATCCTTGTAAATTTGGGGGCTTGGGTAATGAATATTAGATGACGATGACCTTCTGTGTATCCATTAAACCATTAGCAAAGTTTCCAGGTTGTTGAGAAATCATAGATATTAAAAATCAGCTTAGAGATTGTTCCAGAAGTTAATATCTTCATTTATAAAGGAAGACAGTGACTGGCCTGGAGAGCTGAGTGGCTAGACCACCTTCTAGCCCCCCATGTAGTACCATTGGCATACTTAACATCTGTCCCTCAGTTTCCTCAGCTGTAAAACAGGAGTTATATTGCATACCTCATATGATTGTGTATATAACACATAAAATAGATATCAAGTGCTTGCCATAAATGTGTGTGTGTGTGTGTGTGTGTGTGTGTGTGTTGTTCTGTGGCCCAGGCTGGAGTGCAGTGGTGTAATCTCCGCTCACTGCAGCCTCTGCCTCCGGGGTTCAAGCAGTTCTCCTGCCTCAGCCTCCCAAGTAGCTGAGACTACAGGCACACGCTGCCATGCCTGGCTAACTTTTTTATTTTTAGTAGAGACGGGGTTTCACCCTGTTAGCCAGGATGATCTTGATCTCCTGACCTCATGATCCACCCACCCTGGCCTCCCAAAGTGCCGGGATTACAAGTGGGAGCCACTGCGCCCAGCCGTTGTTTGTTTGTTTTAATACCAAGTTCTAGCCAGGATATGGAGCTAGTAGAACTGTCATACACTGCTAGTGGAAATACAAAATGGAACAGCCACTTTGGAAAACAGTTGAGCGGTTTCTTCACACTTGATCTTAGCCAAAAGGCTGAGAAGCAGTAAGCAGTGTCTTATCAAGTTAAATATACACTTGCCATACAACCCAGAAATTCTACTTCTAGGTATTTATCCAAGTGAAATGAAAATATATGTCCACACAAAAACCTACATATGAATACATACAGCAACTTTATTCACAATCTTTAAAAATTGGGAACAACCCAAATATTGGTCAGCTGTGAATGGATAAACCAACTGCAGCACATCCCTCCAGTGAAACACTGATCAGCAATTAAAACAACAAATTATAATACACACAACAGTTAAGATAAATCGCAAAGATGCTATGTGATTGAAAGGCACCAGTTCTTAAAAGCTATATTCTGAAGGATTCCATTCATATGACATTCTGGAAAAGGCAAAACTGAAGGAACAAAAACAAGTTAGTCATCACCAAGGGGTAGAGGGAGGATTTAGTTACAAAAGGATCTGAGGGAATTTTGGAGTGGGATGGAATTGTTTGTGTCTCAATTGAGGTGTGGGTTAGGTGACTGAATGAGTTTGTCAAAACACACAGAGCTATACACTTGAAAGAAGTTTTGTTATATAGAATTTTTTATCAATTTAAAAAAGATTTAAAAATAAGAGGGAATTCCACAAAGATGAAATAAAAACTAAACATTCCTGGTACTTACTAGACTCTTTAAAGTCTTTTTCTATTCTCCCCTTCTCTCCCTGAGCAAGAACTACTCATGACTGAAAGCTCTTAAAAATAATTTTCTTACTCAGATATTATTTTTAAAAAGAGTGAAATTCATGACTTACAAAGTATTTTCTTCCGGCCTTTGAGTCATTTTTACCATTTTTTCAACAAATAATTATTGATCACCTATAAGCAGATGTCTTTCTGAGCTCTCACTTACAACTGAATCTGAACAGTTAGAGCTGAAGGAATCCTTAGAAATCATTCAGTCTATGTGGCAGATGAAGTAACTGAGGCTCTGAAAAGTGAAAGTCACTCACCCAGTGCCACCCAGAAAGTTGGTAGCAGAATCCCAGCCAGGACTTAAGAGTGTCTCATGGGGCTTCAGTCTTTTCACTGTGCTCAGCTTTGCAGCCCCTGAACTTTAGGCTAAGAAGCTAATAGCTGCTTTGAGAAGTGATTTCTTTAGCTGTATGAATGTACCCTTTAGTGGTGGGATTTACAAAGTGTGATGGGGGTGCAGGGAAATATTTGGGACAAGGCACTGTATCCTGAGCTTCTGGAAACTCACTTCACAAGCTGCTTCCCTTCCCTAAGAGGAGTCCTTCTTTCTTACAGCACAACAGGAACAACAGAAACAGATTGCAAGGAAAAATCACTAGTAGGTACCTGGAAGTGGCAAGATCCTTCTCCTATTACCATCAGGGCTTTGCTTTTACCCAAGAGAAGTGAGAACCTTCTTGAACTGGTGAGGTGGAGCTCCCTAATAACACCTCAAGATAAAGAAAGGCACTCTTGAAGTGTCATCATTTAGGCAAATACATAAAAGGATGGATAACCAAAGGGTAAGAGCTGGTAAATCCCAAAGGCATGAGCAATGCAAACTGAGGGACATTCTAGCATCCAGATCATTGAAGGAAACTAAAGAGACATGACAAGTAAATGGAACTCATAATTATTTTGAATGCTTTGTTATAAGGCAGTGTTATTAGAAAATTGAGGGAAATCTGAATGTTTCTATATACAAGATAACGGAATCAGATATATCAATGTTAATTTCCTGATTTTGGTGGCAGTTCTGTGGTTATGTAGGAGTGTTTTTATTTGTAGAAAAGGTATGAAATACATTTATATGAATAAAGTACATATCTGAAGTACAAAATGTACATTTTGTACATTTAATACAATGTATGAAGTACAAAATGTATGAAGTACAAAATGTATGAAGTACAAATATATGAAGTGTGAGTGGGGGACACCAGAGTAGCAACTTATTCTCAAAGACTAGGGGACAAAAGAGTTCTTTATACTATTCCTATAATTTTTCTCTAAGTATGGGATTGATTCAGAATTAAAATATTTAAAATGTGAGGACATTTTTTTTTTAAATTATACTTTAAGTTCTGGGGTACATGTGCAGAACATGCAGGCCTCTTACACAGATATATACATGCCATAGTGGTTTGCTGCATCCAACCTCCTGTCATTTACAGTAGGTATTTCTCCTAATGCTATCCCTCCCCTAGCCCCCCACCCCAACAGGCTTCAGTGTGTGATGTTCCCCTCCCTGTATCCATGTATTCTCACTGTTCAACACCTACTTATGAGTGAGAACATGTGGTATTTGGTTTTCTGTTCCTGTGTTAGTTTGCTGAGAATGATGGTTTCCAGATTCATCCATGTCCCTACAAAGGACATGAACTCATCCTTTTTTATGGCCACATAGTACTCCATGGTGTATATGTGCCACATTTTCTTTATCCAGTCTATCATTGATGGGCATTTGGGTTGGTTCCAAGTCTTTGCCATTGTAAACAGTGCCACAATGAATATAGGTGTGCATGTGTCTTTATAATAGAATGATTTATAATCCTCTGGGCATATACCCAGTAATGGGATTGCTGGGCCAAATAGTATTCCTATTTCTAGATCCTTGAGGTTGCCACACTGTCTTCCATGTGAGGACATTTTCTATGTTATCCTTATAAAACTAAGCAGATATGTCTGTATTCTTTAGAGCCCCTTTGAGATAGAGATAGTCTATAATTGATGGGCAAATAAGTAGATGTGATAAAATGTATTTTTTTAATAAATGAAAGGTAAGCACAGCAAGAGGTAAGTAAAGGAATTTGAAGGATAAGAGATTGAGTTTGGAGGAAATGGGCAGGGGAGAAAGGAAGAGCTTCCTCGGCGTTTAATAATTTTTCATAAGCAGGGGAGTCAGCCAAACATATATTCGGGATTTGCCTCCAAGCAGTTCAAATTCTGGAACCCTAGGACAGCTTCCTTTAGGACTCCTATGTCCAGGGACCATAATCCAGCCCAACAAACAGTGTCCTGAGAGTCCTGAAACCTGGACTCTAGTCCC